AATGGTGTCCTTATGTTCTACGCCATTGTCGTGGAGGAAGGTACGCCATTGCCTCTCAATATTAACATATCCCAAACTGATAGCAGCGACGACTCTCTAGATAGACCCATAATTGTTTCCGAACTAACACCCATTATTTCCTTTGGTTAAAAATAGGCATCGACACATGAGAGAACCTTATTTTAAATTAATTTAGTGTAATATATTATTCTAACTAAAATTGATACATGAATAATCAACTATTAAAACAAAATAATAATTTCTTACCATTATGACGATCTTAACCATGAAATACATTGTCACTTTTATTGTTACAGATAGTGTTAGGGATGTGGATGAAATTTTTCTAACATCATTAATGTAGTATTTATACTGATACGTAGCGTTTCAAGTTATTGCCTCATAATCATTACTTCATCTTCATGTACAAACGACTGTTCGAAGACGTGAGTCATTAAGCGACTGTTTTGCGTAAGAATAGATTGAAGATAATATTTTTCAAATGATAAATTCGAATTATGCGATTAAACTGTGTAAGAGATACATCGGAACTGTGATCCTCAGTACCATTGTTTTTTTTTTTTTAAGAAAAAATTAGTTACCAAAATATACGATTACTAGGCAAAGAATCAGACGTATAATTAATCGCATATTAATTTTTTGAAATTTTATATTTTAATATTAATAATCTGCGATTATTACTCGATAGATATTCTGACGCATATTTGGCACATAGTTATTATTTCATACAAAATTAAAAATAATGGAAGCGTTTATTCACTTTTAGACGTCAACAGTTACTTTATAGTTTTACTTTTACACTTTTACACATGCATTCCCGAAGAACAAAACAAAGAAGAAAGAAGGGCAAAATTTGGCCTTCAATACTGTTCTCTTTATCCCGTTCTCACAGTGCTCGACTACAACCGCTCTGCTCAATACTGTTCGACCAGTATGGCCTCCTCCATATCAGATCTGTTCGGCTGGTCTAGTGAACCGATTTACTCTTTTAGGTATATAATATCTCATATCAGTGACAAATAATATATATAATTTTATTATATATAATAGTATATATACACAATTAGTATATATACATAATTTCTAAATTCTAACTATAAAATAATTACATAAAACAAATAGTGCGGCAACCAACGAAATCGGCCGTGCACGGTCCGGCCAACATGCGAAACTGGCCGTGCACGATGCGGCCAACCGGTGAGTGCAGCCGTGCACGGTTACGACCGGTTTCTCCGATCGGTCGGCGGGAGATTTTTTTTTTTTTTAACTTTTTAGTGAAAATGTCAGGCTAAAACGGTCCATGAGGGGCGGTAAAGTCTCACAATGAGCCTTCCACATTTAAAACTAGCTATTAACTAATATGAGGTGTGATTCTATTGCTTGAGGAACTCTCCCGCAGGCCCACCGCACATTTGGTGTTCAGTGCAGTTTATGAAAGAAACAAACATCTTAATAGGAGGTAGGGGTGTTCACGGTCCGGATTGGTCCGGTTTTAGCCCAAACCATGACCAAACCGGACCTAACGGTTAATTTTTTTTTTTGTCCATAACCGAACCGGTCTTATTTTTTAAACGACCACAATCCGGACCGCATTGGACGGTCCGGTTTGGCGGTTAACCGGTTAAATCCAAAATCCTTGTTTTGGGCCTTTAATTTTTATTTTTTTTCATTTTGGGCTTAGTTTTTATTTTTCAGTTTTGGGTCCAAAAGAGATTATTTGGGCCTAAAATTTAAGAAAAATAACAATAATGAAATAAAAAAAATACACAATTCGTCCCATAAGCCTAAAAATACACATTTCATCCCAAAAACATAAAAATACAAAAATGATGAAGATTAAATTATGCAAACTGAACCCAAGCAAGCATTCATTTTTCAGTCAGTTTATACACCTGAAATAATAAGAGCAAAACATTCATATTTAATGTATTTGTCGGCCATAGTGAATGAATTAATGTATATATATATATATATATATTTGTTATAGTTTATTAATATTTACCGGTCCGGTCCGGTGAAACCGACGGTTTGCCGAAGTAATCCGTTAACCGGACCGGTTATTCCGGATTTTTAGAAAAATTAACCACCGGATTTTTTAAGGCTTTTTTAACTGACCATTTAACCGATCCGCGGTCCGGATTGACGGTTTTTTACGGTTAAAACTGGACCGTGAACACCCCTAATAGGAGGTGTGATACAATTGCGTGAGGAACTCTCCCGCAGGCAGGCCCACCGCACATTTGGTGTTCAATGCAGTTTATGAAAGAAACAAACAAATCTTTGGGACCGTCAATAATGAATACTAAAAACTCTCACAACATCGCTTTCACTCCATTCGGACAAACAAATTACAGCTCCTCAATAAGGACCACCCATGTTACTAATTCAACTCTTCCAGTGTAAAAAAATATCAACCCCTACTAGAAGCAGGCTGGGAAATGGGTACGTCATCGCATGGTCCCACATAGAACTGGCTCTGATACCATGTAAGAAAAAAGACAAACGGGTGCGGTTCCACGGACGTGAAATGCACCATAAGTAGGAAAAGCACAGGTGAAGTCCAAGTGGGTTCCATCCCAAAACCAATTGGTGGAAGGAGGAGTAGCTCTTTAGATTTATAAATTAAGTTATGTGGGACAACTCACAAATGAATAAATTTTGGACATAATAATATCGTAACTTTTTCCAATTTCCTAAACAACGGCCAAGAGACCAACTTTTTCTTATTTTATTTATATAAATGATGTGGGACAACTCACAAGTGAGTATTCTAATAAACATGAACAATTATTTCAAATTTACCTGTTCAATTCTACTTTAAAATTTTTCATCAATACTGAATTCATCAACATTGAACTATTTCAATTTGAATGCAATAATATTAAAAAAAAAAATCCACAATACTGCCTTCTTCATTAGCAAAATGCATATGAAATTGAAACTTAACTTTACAACACAAATAATAGTTTATACTTTATTATTCTTATATACCATTCAACCCAAAATTTTATCACAAAAAATATAATATTCACATATTTATTAATTTTTATTTATTATTATTATTATTTTTTAAATCAAATTGGGCTATGCAATTCATCTTCACATCTAGACATGGTCAAGGGTCACTCGGCCCGACGACCCGGCCCTGACCCGGCCCGGACTCGGCATGGACCCGGCCCGATCAAACCCGTTGACCACGGGTCCGAGACTGGCCCAGATTTCAGACGGGCTGTGTAAGGGTCATTCATTTCATGACCCGGCCCAGAGGGTCAGGGCTGGGCCGGGTCGACAACCCTTCTTTTCAAATTTTCATATACACGATATTTTCATTTGACATATATCAATAGCGTGCCAGCTGCACCACAAATTTCGGGTGTTCAACAGATTATTATAAAGAAACAAATGAAACACCACTAGAAGTCAAACTGTGGTTAACGCACGACGTCGTTGGCGTCACTTATTCATGGAACACCACTATCTAAGGTGCTAGGCTCCAGTCTCCTTTCTATGTACAAATAAAAAAAAAGAATACCCTTAACATGAGGTCAAGAGTTCAAGCCCTCCGGAGCGCAATGGTGGAACAATTAATACTGAGGACTACAAGCAGCAGTGTGGGAGGCTGAAACTCGGTGGAAACCAGCGGTTGGATAAGTGGGGCCAGCATGGAGTTTGGGGGTGGGGGGGGCAGCATGAAGCAATCATTTCGGTGGGACCCTGTGGCTGAATAGATTGGGCCAACTTGGAGCTGGGAGAGCCAACGAGCAATCATTTAGGGATTGACTCCTTGTCCGCGG